AAGTTCCTATTATTGGGACCGGTATTTCTTCTCGTTGTTGAAATTATTTTCTTCACGTAAAGTGGTTTCTGGTGAGGATATTTCGTGGAAAGCAACGTACGAAGGTGAGGCGCAAAAATGTTGTGACTGTGAAATCCCGCTAAATTTGTCCGAGCTTATTGGATATATACGAGTCTTGGTATACATAAACGATCGCACCGGAATTTACCGACACAAAGAATGTATTCTAAGTATGACGATGGTATTAAATATTTACTACTCCCATGTTTTGCTGGTTGTTTTCTAGCGCTAAAATTGTGTATATCAGATGTCATTAGCCTGTGGTATTATTAAGCATAAAACTCACGAAATTTCGGAAAATAATTTTTATGAAAGAAAGATCACTTTAATTTATTTTAACTGGTTAATATATGGCTCGAGGTTATGGGACCTCGAGTCCTATTTAATCTCGCTAAAACTTATGAAATGCACGCTTTTCGGGGGCTTAAGAGTAAACGTGCCGAATTGTCTCGTGTTTCGCTTCTACAACCGCGACGGTAGCTCCGAGCCCAGCCCTTTGTGTTCTTCTTTGGCGGCACTCCCGCGAAGCTTCCTCGCGGACCGCCATTTTGAAGGCGTTCCGCTATCGATCCAAGATGGCTCCCTGTTAGTAATCTTTGTCTTTTGCTCGTCTTTCGGGCGGCAATCGTCGTCTCGCCCGACGCCGACGTCCAGACACCAATGTTTGCTGAAGTGACCGTCCCGACTGTCAAATCTGGCCCACTGAGCAATTGAGGTGCCTTAGCAGACCTCCCTCCCACGCCCTGGCGCGTGAAGGAGACGCAGAAACTACATAGTGACCGACTGCACCGCGGAAACTTCTGCGATGCTTTAGGGAAACGTTCACGGTGCTGACACGCTGGTAAACAACTGTTTGATATAGATCCACGTTTTTTTTTCTAAGAGGGCACGGCCGGTGAATAAGTGAGTTCAACGAGCGAACGCGATGGGAAGTTCGGCGGTACGGATGAAAGAAATGTTTGTTTAGTTACTCGATCCTTTCTGAAATGCGTATCTTAGTGACTCTGGCAACCTTTCGTCAAGCATCCCACGAAAGAATATGCTTGCGAACAAATGGTACACTGTTGTTTTGCGCCCATATGATTTCGTGCCCGTTAATAATGCTTTGTCGTGAACTGAATACGGTGGTGCATTTGAAATGTCCGCGGCTTGTGTGTGTTTGTTGCTTTAGCAGGTTGAGCCTCTACCGGGTAAGGACTAACAACTGCGACACAGTAGCTATTACCTATCCCGTCGCCCATCTTAAAAATCCCTATAGCATTGCTGCCGCGGTTTTCTTTTTATATTTTTATTATTAATATTTTATGTTGGCAGCAGCGAGCAAATGAACCGGTATTAAGATATTTGGGGGAAAATACCGCTTTCGTTTGCAGCAATTGTGGTGTACAAAAATGTAGGGTGCAAATCAAGGAGCCGGTATACATGGTAATAAAATCCGAGACTCAGAAACACAGAAGGGTACGAACACAACGGTGTTGTGTTGGTCCCCTTCTGTGTTCCTGAGTCTCGGGTTTTATTACCATGAATGATCACCAGCTCGCTTGTTTTTTAAGTATTAATTAAGCCGGTATACGTTAGTTGAAGATGAGACTAAAAACCCGAAACTATAGGGAGAATGAGAGAAGACAAGAAACACAAGTCTGAAACACTTCTGTGTTGTGTCGTCTCTTCTGTTAGTCTGGGGATTTTAATCTATTACGTTCAATTATATTGTCCTCAATTTTCTTGAAGTTCTATTCGAGAAAGCAAAACTTACACGCGTTCTTGGCTTTCGCGCACAACTGTGCACGCGTTTGAGTATCAATACTTCGGCATATTTCGCGTGTCGCCGTTGAGCTTCTAGTATTTGCGTAGTTACTTTGCATCGTAATTCTTTCAAATTATTTGCCTAACCGTATGCACCTTACAAAAATTATCGATGACTTTCAGTTGAGTTTTTAATGTATTCGAAAACATCAAAAACTCACTTGAAACTCGTTGGTAATTTTTGTAAGGTATTGTGAAGTCTATAAGGGTCCCTTGAACGATGAACGGAGCTGTACACAATCGCAAAGTGATGTCATTCGTTGCCCAATGAGCCAGTCTCTCGTTCAGGGTAATGAAACGCTTTCTTCGAACAAGCCCGGAGAAAAACGAAAACTCGATCTTTGTCTGCCGTTTTTTTTTTTTTTCCCCTTCTCTTCCTGTGTGACGTGGAGGCGTTTGTCCAAACGTTGATTAGGATTCGGTTGGCGCTATAGCGATTCTTTGGCAAGACAAGTTTACGAATAAAGAGGTAGCTTGAAGGCGTAATGGTCTGGAGAGGCTATATGTTATTCTGTTCTTTCTTTCTTTCCTCTTTTTTTTTTTCTTGGCATCATTTTTATTAGGGGGTAATGAGCGTATCGCGTTTCCGAACCTTATTCTGTTCATGTAGGGTCGGTTTAGCAATTATGTAACTGCCCTACCGATTTAAAACTAAAAAAAAATAATTCGTCGGATGTAAAAATTACAGTAGCCTACTGGGAGGCTCGGAATGTAATCTGCGCGGACATTATGTAAATATTTGATTCAATTCAATTCATGTTTTAGTGTGCCCCAACACCTGGCACCGGTTGGCCTTGATGCACGTACATCGGATGAAATAAACGAAAATGTGACGAAAGAGTAATAATAAGATACTAGTGATCGATTGCGGTTAAAACCAGTTTTCTAAACTTTAAACTAATTTCTTTACTTTTTTTTTCAAATATTTTTCACTGTGTGTGTAAATGAGGTATGTATCGCTTGTAAGCTCTGAAAATACTCGGCAACTATTTGGATTGAGCTACGAATGTCTCGTTTATTAAAACATAAGCGCAATGTATACCACGTCCAGTCTTCAAAAAAAAAAAAAAAAAAAAAAAGTCACGCGATTCAGTAACATGAAAAAGTTTCTTTTTGAAATGGTATGGTTCAGCTACTCTCGGTGTCGAGTAATCAATTTATCTGGTGAAGTACCGATTTGCTCAGTGGTAATTCTTGTGGTAGACGATATTTCTTCCTGGCTAAAGCGTGCAAGACTGTGCATGCCCTGAGAATGATACGTGTAGTTAGTGAGTCCAAATGGTAATAATTTCTGCATCAATTCAGTTCATTTTCTTTCCAGTCTACGCAGCCTTGGCTTTGATTAACTTTTTTTTTATTTCCTCTCGTCGAGTGATGTGAAAGGCCTTAAAAGATAATCAGCCGTAATTAACTGATCTGTAGGTATCTGCATGGATCTGCGATTCCGTTCATAAACTTCACAGGTCACGTATATATATATATATATATATATACTCTATCTCTCTGAGCTTCTTGTTTTATTTATGTTTGTTTGCGGAATCTTAATTTTTGTACTGGCTATACTCGGCGTAAACTATTTTTTGTTTTAGGTTGCGAAGGTAATTTTAGCTTCAACAGTGCCCAGCACTGTTGCGAAAGCACGTCGCTTTGTCCTGCGTCTCATTTCCACGCTCTCGCACAAGTGCCTTCGAGCACTGTGCAAGCTCATCAGCCTTGACAATGTAACACAAGGTAGTTGACGCCGAGTATCTTAGCAGTAGCCGTGCCAATCATGCAGTAGTAATAACGTGATTGTGCGATTCAAGGAGATGTTGGGTTCCTTTATAGGTGCTTAAATAATGCAGGGTACTGCCTTTCTACACCCGAACAGTTCGAGAAAATCGCTTTCTAATACCAAGACCAAAGTTCCGGTACTTTCGTATTTTTAATATTTTTTCGACGAACACGCGCTGAGCTGGAGTTTTGCGCTTGCAGGTTTCATACAGGGGTTCGTTCTCTGGTATATACTTTGAGATGAGCCGAATTCGTCATCAACGTGCAATGTAAGCGGCAATAAGAGCTGGCTCAGCCCAGTGACCGATGGGGGTAAAATGCCGCATGGGAGGCCTATGGCATGCTATGCCACGGAATCCACTGCAACAATGTGACAACGAGAAATGTGACAGTTGGCTACAGCCACGATTTTAACAAACTCGCTCTCTCGGAGCTTCTCGCATGGTAATAGCAGCACTCCGGCCTGTGGGCCGCTGTTCCATCTTATGTCGTCGCCGTAAACGCCAAAGGTACGTTTATACTCCAACGTAACGTAACACTGATACTGATTGGTCGCAGATGTCGAGTTTCTGGTCGCCGGCCAATGAAAGGCGCCCGTTCTGCGCTACGCTGCCTTCACTGCGCTCAACGTCGGAGTATAAACAGCCCTTAACTGGTTGTGCAGTTCCGCACTTGCTCGCGGTGTAAAGATCTATTGCCGCTACTGAAGAAGCATGATGGTCTGAAGAGTCTGTCAGCTATATCAGCAAAACGTGAACAAGAAAAGCTATACTTTACTCCGAAAGAAAAGAAAAAGGAATTTTTTGTTTAATCCTTATTTTTTCTAAATATTCGGCGTTAGCTAGAAACCTCAAGCTTTATAGATAAATCAAAAACATTAAATGTTTTCTGTTTCGAAAATTTGTAGCGTTATTTCGTCTTTCCGATAAAATAAATATGGAAATGAATTAATCGGGTCCAATGTTTGTATTGTGCGCGATTTCGAAATGTAGAGAATGCACATAGCGCGACACTGTTAGCACGAACTAGCGAGAGATATTTATTTTTTCTCTCTTAAAATCCAATTGCAATAGGCAATAAACTAAATAGTAAAGTGTTGCTCTCATTAATATACTCTAAGTAGACGATGTCGTGTTCGCGCCAACGGAGTCGTGCAGTGTACCAGCTGCCGTTTAACTGATACTACTTCTTTTTTGTACATAAGGCGTATAAGCTTTTTAACGTCTAAGAAAGTTAGTATGTGCACGACAGTGACAACAACATTGCAGGCATGTAGAGGGAAGGAACATCTAAGTCGTATATGCAGGATTGTGAGCGCACACGAGTGCACATCGAGAAATGAACACGCTGCAGCAAGCGAATGGAGGGCTGATAACTTTTTTATGAATTTCTCCAAACGAACAGTGGCGGTTTCACGGCGTCTTTCTAAACGACAGGTTCCTAAAACTATTCCGAGAACAGGAGCACGCTTACAGAGGAAGAAGCACGTGGGGGCTGAGCTAGCACTACAGTCATTGACAGGATTAGAACGGCAGGTCCCGCCTCCAGCGTGAGCTTCCTTGCCCTCGATAACACTCGGGCGCCTCGCGAGCTTCGGGAGTGCACGCCAGAAGGCGGAGAGGGCTTGCTGGAGGCCGTGCACCCGAAACACACGCCCTGCCGTTCTGATCCCTTCAGAGACTATAGTTGGGAAGGTGAAGATGACTTTCTCGCTCTCTGTTCTGTATTTTTCAGTCTCAAGATTCGAGAGAGACTCGATGGTCCGATGAGGGGGAATGACTTTAGCGTACTAGCACAGGGACCAAGGGGACGAAGCAAGTTTTTTTGTTGTTATTTATAAGTTTAAGGGAGCGGTTCTAGAGCGAGTCCGTGAGGCTACTTCCTCAAGCCCTGGTACGGAGACTAGGAGACTTGGCACCAGCCCGCGATTGTTCTTTCAATAAATACCTAAAGGGGCCGCACTTGAGGCGAAGTCCATCCGATCGACGATGCGTGGCGGGCACACCATGTCAAGTGAGGTGGGCGCGTCTCAAGGGAATAAACGGGAACAACACACATACACGCACACACGCACGCACTCACAACAACCAACTGTCACCGTCGCGTCAAATCCAAATGCTTGTGCCGAGTTCAAGGTTCCGGGGGTGTCTTGAATGTTGTTGAGCTTCCCAGCTGGCCAACTCCATCGTGATGCAGTCATCCGCGGTTTGTGGCGTACAGTTCTTTTAATAAGATCTTGCTAAAGACGCGTCGGGGTGTAGCTTGCGCATCCGCAGCATTTCGAAACTGTTGTGTCATCTGTCGGGGTGTCTGAGGGAGCTCGAGGACACGTTGATGACCCCGGATTGTTTTCTCCATAAGAGGTTGGTCTGACGTTGGGGATGTGGACATTCCCTCTAGGCGTCTGGACGTGATCCATCTTGTGGGTCCATATTGAGGCCTTTAGTGGAGAGGGCAGCAGCGTTTATATCCGGGTGAGACACTTGGTTGGGATGGTCTTGCTCTCCGGATGACGCACCGTCACGGTCCACGATTGCAGTTTTCCGGCTCAAACACACAGAAGGCGGGCTTAGAAAGCCTCAAAGTTTCTCGAGGGACCTGGGGTTTGTGAGGAGCTCTCGTGTAAGCCTCCACGTTTGTTTGGCGGCGTTCTCGAGCGCTCCGGCGGACTTCCCCTTGAAGAGGTCTAGGTGCGGCAGGAAGTAGTGCGGACAGCGGCGACACTGGAGGCAGGAGATGAGCTGGAGCAGGATACCGTTGAGCCTGTCTCCGAGACACGCGTCGTCCCACTCTAGCTCCCTGGGATGCTTCTCGCACTCGTACAAGAGCAGGGTCTTGAGGTGGTACGCGGACACCGGGTTGCCGGGAAGGTCCAGGTGCCTGTCCCGAAGGGTCTTGAGCACGCTGAGGCATCGGCGCCGGCAGCCTCCGGACAGCAGTCTGTTCTCGGCGTCCAGGAAGCAGAGGACCCAGGCGTCGCCCTCCATGGACGACTGCTTTCCCTGCAGCGTCGCGCACTCCTTGGACAAGAGGTCGAAACCTTCTGCTTTGACCTCTGCCACGAGGTTCGGGTTTGGCCACGGGATGTGCGCCACGGGCCAGTGGGCCGCGGACCGGGGCCAGAGGCCGGCGCAGCGGAAAGCCGGAGTTATCTGGACCACGTAGCGCTCGCGGATGCGCAGTCTGACTTCGGTGGTGTCCGCGAGCATCTTGACGCTGTCCCGGTAGCTGCACTTGTCGCACGCTTGCGCCACGAGCGTCTGGAAGCGCGAGCGTATCTTGCGGGCGGACAGGTAGCCCGAGGCCGTGATGAACTCCACCCAGAGGGACATGGAGCGCTTGCGGCCGTCGCTGAGCTTGAGCACCGCGCAGCCGGGCAACGTGCCGTCGTCGACGAAGTTGAACACCCCCATCTGGTTGAGGTAGAGCACCGCCTCGAACTCCGTGGGCGAGATGACCTCCATGCCCTCGTAGTGGCCGTTGCAGTCGTTCAGGGACGAGATGAAGCGCGGCTCCTGGACCTCCACCTCCTTGAGGACGTCCTGGACGACGCGGCACACCTCGCGGAGAGTCTTGGCGACGCCGGCCTTCCGAGACTGCACGCGCTCGCCGTAGAACTTGTTGAGCTGGTAGAGGAGCTTGGACTGGGCGCCCATCATGTCGGACGGTACGAGCATGGCGGTGCCTTGTGCAGCGACGGCGGCGCCGGCGCGTTGCTGTGTTGACTACGGTCGCTCGCGGAGATCTGCCGGCGCGGTGGCGGCCTGTCGGGGGGCTTGATCGGCGTTCGGTCCGTGCGGGGAACTGAGGGGGCCCTGCAGAGTCCCGCCCTCAGGCCCCGCCTTCGACGAGAAGGCGTCTTTGGCGGGGAGAGGGGGTGGCGTTCCCTCCGTTCTTCCTCCGGGGCGTCCTCCGCCGCGCTTGCCGGCGTCTTGGTGGCCGGTTGTTGCTCGCGGCGTCACCCAGCGCTCGTAGCGTCGACGTGGGGGCCATGGCGGTTTGGGTGGACGGCGCTGGTGCGGCAGGCACGTGCTCGCGGTAAGCGGCGGTGCATGCAGTTTTCGGGGGCTCGTCGGCGGGAGATTCGCCCCAGTTCGGATGGGGCCTTGTTTTTTTGCCCGCATCTCGTCTTTCGTCGTAACTTCCCGATAAAAAGACACTAGTTGGTGCGCAAACTCCTCGATGATTGGTATATTTGACTCGGATGAAGTTAACTTTTTTTACACGCGTTTGTTTGATAGTTTTAAATATATTCCGTGACAAGCCATGATAACGCGACTATAGAGCGAAGCACATACATCTTATACTGCTTGTCGCTTTAGGACAGAACATTGCGCGATAATAATAATAGTAATGTTTATTTTTTACCATCAGCATGCTAGAAGGAGACCGAGGAACACAACGAGTGTGCACCTACTTCTCTCAGAAATATTTGACGGGAAGCTTGGTAGAAGAGCGTGTTGGTTCAGGTGTTGGATGAAGAAAGAATAAGCACTTAATATTGGGACAACCCTATTACGCCCAGTGTTAAGTGTTTATTCTTTCTTCATCCAAAAACATTGGACGGGCTCACCCTCGTACTGCCTCACGGCCGCCGGCGTGTTTTAAATGAATAAAACAGTTCACGACAATTCCCTATTACGGAATCGGCACTCCTCGTGCCAGTTTCATCGTGAAGATTTCCGACATGGTTGTAAGTGTGCACATGCGAACGAGGTCGTCGGTGCTCACGTGTTGACGAGGGAAACGAGTTCTGTGTCCTAGAGAGTGTATTCCTTTGTGTCCGCAGTTCCCGCCGGTAATGTCCAGTTACGCTCGTGCAATATTCTTCTATGCAGTCACCGAGAGGATTATTTATCGTTTATTTAGTCATACTACCAGTGGCATTCGAAGTAGGGTGGTTACGAAGGTTCGAAATTCGCACGTTAGTGGTGCAGTTTAAGAACAAACAGTGAGGGTAGAGTTGCTTACACAGCTTATAGGGTGAACATAATTGGACAACATGAGCCATACAACGTAATACACAATAGGCAACAATCATATTTCAGAGAAGCTATAAAGAGTAGAAAAAAGAAATAATAAAATGACTATTTGTAAGCCAATGGCATGTAAAGGTCATGTCAGATAATGGTGTAAAGGCATTTGCGAATGAATCTACAGACGTCGGTATGGTATATCGGTCGGTAAGCGGTGACTATTACGCTTCTTTTTTAACGCGTCATTCTGTTGCGGGTCGTGTTTGATGGAGTTCGTAGTCTCCGGTGCTGCTGGAGGCGCGGTCTTGGCACTCGACGGAAGTCTGTCGTCAGAAGGCGTTTCTCGAAGCTCGTCAATGGGTGTTTGGGAGCTGTCGGTGCATTGGTCGTTAGCTGCACGGGTCGCGGGGTGGGGCTTCTATAGCCAGCCTGCACTCGCGTATGCAAAGCGAGAGACTAGTGGGATTGTTTCGGACTGCTCGCGGCGCTCCAATCCGAGCAGCACAGGGTGGGAAACAGTTCCCGCCTTGGCCACGCTGTCCTACTGCTTGGATATATGTATTCACAACTTCAGCCCCGCCGCTCGCCCTCTCGTGGTCGAACCAGAAACTAGAGGAGTGGAGACGGTGGCGGAGACGGTGGCAGGGACTGTATAGGCCTTGGCGCTGCTCTTACCTCATGAGTTCGGTCGCCGTGTTGGTGCATCATGTAGTTTTTTTTTTTTTTTACAGAAGACCGAGTGCTTTAAAATAACGTTGTGTTTTGTTTATAGCCGATTCCCACGGCGGACCGAATCGCGATTTTCGTCCGCGGACTGGTGTACCACGTGACCGTCACGTCACCGATTCCTGCGATCCGCGCCTCGTCCGCGGACGCGCGGACTGATAAAGTCGAGCGCCTTTTTCATTCACGGAGTTTTGTCGGGAGATTTACTTGAAAATCGCTTAGTCTGGCAACGGTACAATGTTTTCTTCTTTTTTTTTTTTTTTTTTTTGACGATTAAAACAAAAATGGTGCATCGTTGTGTTTTCTGCTGGGTGTCTAGCGACCGGGAAAACCGGGCATTGTCAGGGAAATTTTAGTTACCGGGAAAAATCAGGGAATTGTCACGGATATTGTCAAAAAGCGAGCCCGGTCAGCGAAAAAGAGCCGGAAACGCCGTCGAGTGCCTTGAGCAAAGACTCGAGGACTTGGGGGCAGAAAAATAAGCAATGAATTCTGCTTAGAGGGGAGCGCGGGCTCTGCTCACCTGATGAGTGTGCTACCCGATGCAAAGAGTACAGCCGACAAATACAGCTCAAGCCTTGGATTGGATCGGATTTTGGGCGCGACACTAGGCTAGATCCAGTTAGAGCTACTAGATTTAGTAACAAATGGGAAAGCCGCAGACCCCAATCCAAGCCTTAAGCCTAAAGTATCCGAAAGCGTGCATCGGGCGGCCATGCTGCCATTCGGTTATTAATGGGTGTGGTTGAGCGTCGTGTTTTCATCAAATTTCCGGAAGTGGCCTCTTCACTGACGATGTCGGTGGCAAGAAAGTGCTCGTTTAATCCGGTGTTCAATGCCCTGTGTTGTAATGGTCTTATATATTTAACCGCCTCTACAGTGGCCAAGGAGTTTCAAAATTATAACTTGCTAGACACCCTGTCACTGCCAGAGCGAGAACGGCAGAGTGCTCGAAGACGCTGAAGCGTTGTCGAAGGTAGGAGCTGGATGAGGGACAACTGAAGCTTCTCACTGCCGTTGTCACCCTGTCAGGGACTATACGGAGCGCAAGTTCGTCTGCTTCTTGCGCAGGGGTTGTGGTGACGTCACAACGATGCAGAGCTCTGATTGGCTCCGATTGGAAGGATAGTGGGTAGACCTTGAGGCAGCTAACATTGAGGTCTACCCACTATCCTTCCAATCGGAGCCAATCAGAGCTCGGCTTTCTGACATCAGTAGAACCCCTACGCAAGAAGCAGACGAACTTGCGTCCCGCTTTTGTTTGTTCTTTTTTTTTTTTCTTTTTTTTTTTTTCAACGTTTCGGTATAATTCGCAGCTTGTTCCTGAAAAAAAAAAGTATGAAATTGTAGTAGTTTAGTGTCTTTCGTTTAGTATAGTTTGGTATCTTTCTTTTAGTATCTTTTGTTATCTTTCTTTTAGCGTCTTCTCTTTTGGGTGAAATATTGAGTTGTGAGTTCAGCGTCTATCCTGTCTCATGTATTCTTCTACGGCTTCCTCCCGTTGCTCGCTGACTTTAACCATGTACAAATATATATGTGCCGCAACCGACTACAATTTATATTGAAAAACGCATTAATTATAGGGACAATTCCTCGACACCTTTCTGAATTTCTTGGGCGAATGCTAATCCTGATGTTTTTTGTGGGACCTGTTTCTGACCGGGCAAATTTTCGAACACTTTCGAAGTTGCACGGTGCTTCAAACAAATTGCCGGGATCGGGTCGAAACGGACGAGTAACTCGAATAACTCGGAGACATTTAAAGAGGCGGCGGCCAATCAGAGACGCTATATTTTCACGTGATCCTTAGGGGTGGTGATAATGATAACTAAACAATTAGTTGTGTTTTGCGATAGATTTTTTTCTTTCGCGACGAAATGGCTTGGAGGATATCGGATAATATTTTAAACACCATATATATAAGTCGAACCCCTGTGTGAACGGGTTTTTTAACGAGAAAGTGAATATGGTAAGTCGGCCCTTTGTACGAGTCCCGGTTATATGTTTATACGGTCAGAGCGGCGAAACCGCATCGATGAGCCCGCATACGGAGAACTGTGATCGGAAATATGCGCAAACGAGAGCCCGCTTCACAACATTCTCGCCAACGAGTCGAACGACAGATATGACCCCCGCGGCAGATTCGCAAAATTAAGGCCTGTACTTAAAAAGGAAAAAAAAAATGTTCTATAAAATATTTTGATTTTTACGTCTGAAGAAACGGCGTGCACTGTTCTCAGCCCGTTTACTGCTCGGCGTTCGTGAAACCACTTAACATTCTTGCAGTTCGCCGAAGATACTTCTGTGAACATCGTGAGTTTCATCTGTATTATCGTTATTAACTTAGACAATAGCGTTATCACTTAATGTACAATGTGTAAACGGACGAATCTCCGCAACCAACACTGGTAGAATTACGGAAAGAGACGACGTATAGCGCACCAGAAACTTTGTTTCTAATAACAAGACGTATTTAAAACATTAGCCAGTTTAAAACGATTATGAAGGGCCCATTATACAAAATTAAAATTGGATCGCTCTGTTTTTTTTTTTTTTGTTTTTTTTTTTGTAACTTTTAAGCAGTTTTCGTGAGCGACCACAACTTTTGCCAAAATCTTAGGCGCTAAGACGAGAGCTTAAAAACGGTTGGAAGCGACCAAATGACGTAACTGCCGTCCCTCACAAACATAAAAAAAAAAAGACGTACTTGGCAAAAACGACAGCAGGGTTTATCCATTGTGTCTGAGTGCATTGTTGACAGACACGCGTTCATTATTAACCGGTTCATAAGATGTACTAATTCCCCAATATTTTAATAATCTTTAAATTTTTTTGTTTTTCGTACGCGGCGGTCACTTTCCGTTGGATATGTGCTTTCTGTGCGATTACTTGTTCTATGTTGTTGTTATTGTTTTTTCCCTAAAGCATCTGGCCGTGTGGAAATCAATTGACAATTCCAGATTTTTGATGACTCTATTTGCGGTTTGGTAGATGGCTATAAGAATGGATCTGTCCTTTGCTTCCACTCTTTTCGTTTAGCGTGTTTCTCGATGTGTAAAAGAAACTGCAATAACAGTACCTCGCATACTTGTAGTACG